CATTTTCCTCACAGTGCAGACTGACCCCAGAAGTTCTCTAATGATTTCTGAATAATCCAATGTTGCCCTACTTTGTAAACAACCGATGATGATAAATAGAGTCGACCTGTGTGTAATCTAGTCTCAGTATAGATGCACCTGCTCTGTCATGGTCTCAGAGATCTGCTAGAACAATATTGGGGAGCAAACAGCATCATCAAGATACATAATATAGTGCATTTCACCTTTTAAGGCTCTTCCTGGAAAAGATGTAGGTAGTATTTGTGATGGTCTCCCCAACCTCCACGCATCCAGCTGAGAAGAAGTGAGGACAGTAAGATTCAGTTGTCACCTCAAATCACCTAAAATAAACACTGTGACAATTTCCCAAGAGCACGCTGCACAAGTACCTGGAGCGAGTAAGAACGAGCCGTCTGGCGTGAAGGAAAGACGTCGGAAGAAAGACCTCATACTGTCGTCATGGAAGAGGCGGTGCTGCTTGACCTGTAAATATATAAACAACAAAAGTTTAAGTTAATTTACTGAAACAAATTTAAATAAGTAAGTAACCAAATAATACCTCTATGGATAATTGTGACAAAGTTCACGTGTGATTAAAATGTGCTCTGTATGTACTAACCTCTCCATCTGCAGGTGAGCCCGAGCTCATTTTGCTTACACAGAAGGCTTTCTTCTTTGTGTTAGTGCTGTATATACGCATTACTCTGAAAAGGATGAATATCAAAACATATACACAGCTGTCAAATAAATGGACCAATCCTTTAAAGCCTTTGCGGGTAATAATGGGTACCTGTCACAACCGAGAGTGGCAACATACTGCCCCAATGGATCCCAGGTCACACCCTGCACGTAGCTCTTATGGTCATTCAAGATGCACATTTTCTGTCCTGAAAGATAAAAATTGGCAGACGACATGAAGGCAATTAATTTTGGGACATATGTTCACTTGTTTGGATGTTTTCTCAGCAAACCTTTGTTGATGTCCCACATGATGGCCGTGTTGTCTACAGAACCAGACACCATGCAGTTCCCATCGCGGGTCCAGCAGATGTCATACACATCCTCAATGTGGCCCCTAAAAACACAGTGCACAGAGATAAGTGGACTGCGTTTTGACCAAACTGACATACAGTAACGCCATGTTCTTTCCAAATTATTTTGGTTTCCCCCCACATTTTTAGCGGCTGAGAAGTTAAAATGCATACAAAGCAGCACTTTCTGCTTTGCTGGAAATGAATGCCATTATAGTGGTTTTGTACCTCAAAGTCTTGATGACAGACCAGCTCTCTTTGTTTAGCTGAGCTTCTTCTTCCTCCTGGAACACTGGTGCCTGTTCCGGCTCCTTGTTGTCATTAAGCTTCCACAGCAGAATGGCTGCATCTGAAACAAACAACAAATGGATTGAGGTCATATGCTAACACAATAGCACGTCTGTTGTGAGCAATGCTGATTCAATTTTTGTCTACAAGCTTATTTTTCCTGACGACTACGAAAACGAATAAAAATGTACATTGATAGAAACCAGGTCTTGACACTTTTCATCAACAAATAAAAACAAGACAGAATTGTTTGACACAGACGAAATCTAATCAGATCCAATATTGTCTTGTGGAAAGTCGGAACCAGCTACCTAAATGTGGATGACTATTGACCATTTTCCTGTTGTTCTTAATGCTTAGAGAGCATTAATAAGTTGTTTTATTCGTAAAGAGTGTTGTTGAAGATTTCATGTCGAACAATTACAATGATTCATTCTTGACGGTTGATCCATTCATGAAAAGCAGGCCCACTGTTTGTGGCAAATTTTGTAATTGTTACTCAAACTGGCTCAAAGGCAGCTTGACAGTGGTTGAGAAGCAGATTATCATCTCTTCAAGAAGTCTTTGCCATTTCTTAATCATTAAATGTGGGTGCAATCAAAAAGGGGGTCAAACAATGTATTATAACGCGTGCCATTTGAGTCACTGTAGCGCAGATGGAACAGCCCACACCAGAATCTACCAGATGTCACTGTGCATCCCTGGTGATTATTACATGGATGTCTGTAATAGTGACGGAGGGAGCACATGGCATTCCACAGAGAGGTGCTTCTTATATCGACATATTTACATACACCGGAGCCAGAAAATAATCACTTCAAAAAAGAAGTAAATGGGGCATTGTCAACAACGCAAAAGTAGAATTTCTGATGCACTTCTTGCATTGGATGTTTATTACATCGGTGGACATACAGTAGATACTGTATAGTCACGTGTTAGACGTACCATCTCCTCCTGAGGCAAGATGCTCGCCACTGGGGCTGAAGCGGACCACGTTGACAGCCTTTGTGTGTCTGGCCAGATTAGACAGAAACTCTACCTCCGCCTTTCCATCTGGGCCCATGTCGACTCTCCACAACTGCATGAACATGACATAAAAAGGAATGAATGGCCACATAAATTTGCAGCAGATGCTGTAATTGATTACATTTGAACAATTAATTTAAGTTTATTTGCTGGGACTACAGTATTCTTTTTTTGCAGTTTATGTAGTTCAAAGCTTGTTTTTGTTTCCACTAACACCATCGGTGAGAGCGAAGAGAAGCCTTTATCAAATGAACAGTCGGCGTTGCCAACTTGTCAATTTGTTTGCGGTATTTAAGGACTTTTATGGCCCTGTACTAACTATTTTTTTAAAAAAAAGTGACCTGAAACATTAATTCCCATTAAGAAATATTAGCCAAATCCTTTTCACCTTGTTTCTTTGCATGCCCAGAAGAAGGAAATCACAGAGTCATACTTACTGGACATTCTCAAAGACATAGTGTCGAAAAGTAGAGCTTTATTAAGTCAGTAAAAACTTTTAACCCAAGGTATTTCCTTCCAAGCCACAAATATTTTGCAAAGGTCATCTTGTCTCACCTGTAAAACTCGACTGTGTTGAGTGTTGGCACAGAATGTGGCCGACATGAATGCAAATGCAGCTGAACTGAAACATGTTCTATATGGACGGCAGAGTCGGTGTCCTGAGTTTAATTGGGACACAAGAAAAAAGACTTAACGTGACGTGGGTGAACTACACACAGCAATGAACAGATCTCCATAGTCCACCACACCGAATACACCAGGTTGGCCAAAAGTTGTATGACTGTATATGTAACATTTTAGCATTTTCCGGTTCAACTATTTAACATCCAAACTAGAGGAAAGAAGTGCCAGGCTTTTCTTTGTGTAGTAAATTAGCAAGAAGAGCCATATATGGACAAAGTTGTGCCCTGCTACTGCAGCGAATGCCACAAAAATGTGAAAAAAAGCAAGGTGAAAAGAGCTTTACACTTACATTCGTGTAGTTTGACATCTTATTGTTGTTAAATTGCTGAAGAATTAAATGTTATCTTAATGAGTAATGTGTTAACATACATGTTTTAAGAAAAGGGAAGTTTTGCGTGAGAAATCACTTCTCTTATTCTTCAATAAAACCACATTAACTTCTGCTGTATCTGTGGAAGCTGATGACGGAAAAACTAATTCGTGTGAAGGGAAATAAAGGACATGGCAGGAGCAAAAAAGTTATACGTTCAGTATAATTAGCCTTTTCTAAAAAGAAGAAAAAAGGGGGAGGGGGTTCAATCCAAATCGGATTTTTCTGGGGGGGAAAAAAAAAAAATCACATGGGATATCGATACTCACCCTGACTGTGGTGTCCACACCAGCTGTGGCCAAACGATGTGTGCGTCCATCGGAGCTGTGTTGGAAGTCCAGACTGTAGACTGGCTCCTTGTTGTGCCAGGCAATCTCACAAGTCACAACCTTCATCTTGTTTCAATCCAACGCCGACCTTCGAGGGAAGCCATTTTAGTGTCGTTTCTATCATTACGGTTTTAAAAAGACGACAAACGGCTATTCAAATTCGACGGCCACTTGGGCGAGAAATGTAGCTTATCATTCGATACTTTGCAATGGACTAAGACATGAAATGGATTTACATTGTTTATAACGATTTTCATCCGCGCAGTGAAACGAATAAAAACAACGTTTTAAATGGGTTACTCGCCAGAGTATTTTTACCTTTGCTGTCGTCCGGCTGAAGAAGCTGAGCAACTTCCCGCGTTTAGGCTTGTTCAAAACTTCCGGTTCAGCGCTCGGCAATGATTGGACAAAAAAGCGGAAAAGGCTGTGTTATAATTCATATACAGTACTGAATACTAAACATAGTTTAGGTTATAAATTACTAATGTATAAATTAGACATGGGATTAAAAGTACAGCAGAACCACACTGGTGCTTGATGGGCGCTGCAGACAAAACTGAAATTAAAAGGATCCTGTTGTGGTTCATCTTAGTTACAGTACATATGAACTGTATATTTAGTCTCATTAAACTTACCAGGAGCGATATGATTGTTTGGAAACATCAAATTACTTTACAAAGAGTGACTTAGTGATAATCATGTCTGCCTCACAGTTTTGAGGTTGGGGGTTTTAATCTTGGCCTCCGTGTATGATTTTTACATGTTCTCTCTTGCCTTGAGTGTTTTTTTTTCAATATTTGTTTATTTATTTGTTATAAATGAATAATTTTTGGGACAGTTGTGTGAAACCTGGTAATTCTTGCAGACATTAAGAGCTCTCATGATCCACGGCACACTAATGTGCCCCAGGACACTGGTTGAGAATTACTCCTCTAAATTGTCAAGTGTGAATGTGAGCATGAAACAATGGCTGTCTAAATGTGCCCACTTCTCGCTCAAAGTCAGCTATAATAGACTCCAGCTCACCCGTGACCCTAATTAGTAGAAGTCCTGTAGAAAATAGATGAATGGCTGGCATTATTACAGCATATCACATCAGACAAGTCATCTGCGAGTAGCGTAACATTTATTTTTGTTGTTATTTCAAGGCAGAACTGTAGTTTAACCCAATAAGCAATACATCACATATTAACATTGTAGAAAAAAAATTCATATGGTTTCTCATAAAAAAATAAATAAATAAAAGAAAATATTTTAAATAATAGTATCAAATATATTACAGGAAAAAAAGTCTGCTAAATTCATGAGAAACATAGAATACCATCATCCCCAAACGTTTTAATTTACTGAACAGCACATTTGTGTAACAGACCGGTACACACTGTCCATTATGTCATGGAAATAAACAGAAGCAATTCTTTTTGTTGAGAGTCATCACAGTAAAAGTAAGATGCAAACTTATTACAGACATCGATACTCATCTATAAGTGAATTAAGTGATTTTTAAGAACTGAAATTGATTGCTGATTAACCTTGTCTTAGAGCAAAATGGATGATTCTTGGATGACAAGGTCATCAATGGTTTCTTCACCATCAGCTGTGGAAAATGGACTACTCAGTAGTGTCCCCCTACACAAACAACAATAACATGTATTCTGTATAAACTGCAGTAATGAAAACAATAATCAATCAGACCCTCCCACCCCACCTCCAAAATTAAAAAAATCATCATACCTTTTGGGGTCTGACAAGGAGAATACATCTATAATAACCGGAACCCAGCTGCTAGTAGAGTTGCTGCAGGCTGGTGAGAAAAATGGTCCTTTAAGTGGGATGCACACATACCAATAATCAATCCAATTTTTATCCCAATTGCTCCCTTCCGATCAAAGTCAGTCAACATTAACAGATGTCTATAAAATTTGATCCTGAGTGATTGTCCTTTAGTGTAGGTTGTGTTAAAGATGTTCTTTATTTTCCTCCCCAATTTTATAAAACACGGGACACCAACAGAGAGGAGAAAAGTACTGACATTATGTACTTACTCTAGAAGTGCAATTACTTGTGAAAAAAACGACTCTGGTAAAAGTACTCATTCAAACAATTACTCAAGTCAATGAAAAAAATATATATTACAGGCCAACTATGCTGTTTCATGTGGCATGGCCTAAGATCACTGTTCTTGGGCTGCTTTGTTTTTATTTTGTCTGGACCATTGAAAGTGCCAGCTCAACCGGACTTGGTGAACATTGTTTCAACAACAAACCACTCTGTGTAAATGACTCGTGAAACCCCCTTTAAAAAATATTCTTAGGATGTTAATCAGTTGCCGTGTGCCTCGCTTCCGTTATTTGACTGATATTCGAACAATCTCTCATGCACTCACATCAACACGTTTTCCCATACCAGATGCTGAAAGGATGTCAGACTTTAGCCTCTTTCTTCCATGTCGAGCACTTGGATCTGAGGGGGAATGGACCGTTTGTCCATTGGTCTGTCGATAAAATGTTTTTACAAAATGTATACTAGATGTGGACTAAAAACAACTAAAACTTCAAAGGAAATGTATGAAAATTCAAAACAACAGTGAACCCACAAACACTCAGCATTTATAACAATAAACATTTGCTAAATTGTTATTTTTCCTGAACTCGTCTGTACCAAAATTACCTCAAATTGGTGGGGAAGCAGAGTTTTCCTTCAGTTTTGAATATTGTCACCTTTTACATCAAATGAATGGCCATTTTGCTGCTCCATCTGCTGTGGCCGCCCTGCATCCCATTACTGTATTTGTTAGTTTTAGCATTGCACAGCAAGCGATTGCACTAAAGTCTAAGGTACTGTTTGTTTTAAGTAAACATATAGTTCTATAAATTTTATGTTTTGTTTTACTGCAAACTTCAACTGGGAGTGGTTGAAAAAAAAGCTTAATTAAACCCTCTTTTTAGAAGAGGTGTTCACAATTTGCCAGAATGTTGCTTACATTCCAACTGGTGCCATGGTAGGCAATATTAAATTAGCTAACAATGTTTACGTTACCTTGTGTCGGTTTCACCATACCTCTTTATCAAAAGAATGCAAAGGAGCATCTGTATTGTCCGTAGTGCTGGAAAAACTCACTGGTCCAGGTGTTTCTGCCATCTTAGAAAACAAAACATTAACATTTGAGATATGGGGTATTATGTTATTGAAGGAATTAGTTGCAGCTTCACATTGCTATGACTGTTCTTGGAGAAATGTGACAAAAACATGACTTTATTTGTTTCCTGACTGATTACATAGTCATGGCTGAAAATGCCCTGCTTTTGTTGAACATCATCAGTGTTGTGGCAGGGTGCAGCTTCAGGTAACTGTAGAGTAAAATAATTCACATAATATTTTTCAAGACATGGTTTTGGACCAGAAGCCTTAGCCACCTTAACGTTAGGTATACCTGCTGTGCCTGCATTCTGTTTCTCTGATGTCGAAGCTTTGCAGCTTTAGAGCCTCTTCCCTTGCGTGGCATCTTGGCCTCGCCTTCCTTTAAAGACAGCAAAAATCAATACCAAGTGTGTGTAACTGATTAATTCATGCAACTGGTGTAGCAGTTCCCAATGACAAATTCAAATTCAAGATTGAACGTCCAAGTATATATTGATAATCGACTATCATATGATGAACGCTGTGTCAAAATCAATTAATCCGTGACATCATTATTTTTTTCAACACTGTACGGCGGCCTCCAAACTTTTGTTGTGGGGAAAACAAACACATTTGCCGATGAGGATGGGCGTTTGGCTTTACGCAGCTGCCTCTGTTCCTCGCCACAACTCTCAAGGTACCGCTGGTATGCATCTCTTATTTATTGAGCCTTGTTGTGAAAGAAGTAAGGCTAACTACTCTGCTTTTCCAGAATCATCTTATTTTCATAATTCTCAGACCGCACAGATGCACCAAGCCGGTCGCTTTGTTGGCCAGACATTTTACTGTTCCACAGAGCACTATAGTTCAGTAACAGCAGCAGACGGTAAGTCCAACGTACTCGGTTCAAACTCTAGTGCAGATATTGTTTGGAGAATAAATAAAGTTGTTCAAGACCAGAATTAGAAATGTGGTTCCTCTCTCGGTAACTTATTTGGATAAATTATGCCATATCCCTACACACTGGAGCTCAACTAACAATAAAATCCACAGAAAATAAGAATTGACAATCGTCAATGTTTTATGTTTATGATCTGCTGTCCATCCATCCATCCATCCATTTCCAAGCCGTGTATCCTCACAAGGGTCGTGGGGGGTGCTGGAGCCTATCCCAGCCGCCTTTGGGCAGTAGGCCGGGGACACCCTGAACCGGTTGCCAGCCAATCGCAGAGCACACAGAGACAAACGACCATCCGTGCTCACACTCACACCAAGGGACAATTTTGAGTGCTCAATCAGACTGCTATGTAAGTTTTTGGAATGTGGGAGGAAAACGGAGTACTCCGAGAAAATCCAAGCCGGCCTGGGGAGAACATGCAAACTCCACACACGGAGGCCGGAGCTGGAATTAAACCCGGTACCTCTGCACTGTGAGGTTGACCCGCTAACCACTTATTATTTTATGTTAAATGGTCTGTAAAGCGATTTGATACAGCTGCAGCTGTTATGAAACTGGTATATCAATAAAGATGTTTTGTTTTGTATTATATTGATGACAAGGTGAACAAAGGTATTTTAATTCTGATATTTGAACGACCTAATCAAAATGAAGACACGCCCCATCTTGGGCAGGCTAAAAAAAACTATGAAGCAGATGCCACGTGCGGAAAAGAAGTTTGGCCCCACCAAACTTACATGTCTAAAGGATAACAATTACTTTTGGCAAGCGCCAGTATTTCTTCGTCGGTGACGACGATTGCGGTTAAAACTACCGCGAACGCGTCGTGTTCTTCTTTTTTCACTTCCGACGAGTGTCAAACTCGTTTATCGCCACCCACTGGATCACGTGGAACGGCAGAAGATGGAGAATGAAAAACAATTAGTATTTAGCTAAAATATATGAAATATACATTTTGCTACTTCATAGATGGATGTGGTGTTGATGTATTCACGTTTTTCATTCTCCGTTTTGTCAGTGAATGTGTACGTAATATACTATATATACAATCAGTGGTGTAGTGGGGATTTTTTAAGTGGGTGTACGCGATTCTGGGATGTTCTATATATACATACAGAACATCAATCATAGGCTACAATACCATTGAACTAACGTTAAATTTAATGTTTTAGTACTCCAAAATAATCACAGGCAACGTTATTAAGCATAACTCGCATTAGAACAATGATCAACAAACATTTCAATCAAAATTGAATGTGGTGTCTGGAGAAGTGGGTGGACGGCGTACCCCCGCGTACCAGGCCCACTACACCCCTGTATACAACACTATAATACCCTTGCCCTATGTCTGCACTTTCCTCGTCTTGGAATGTATCCACATATATTCAATAAAATAAGTAGGGGAGGAAAAAATATAACTTTATTCAGTTAAGGTACGGCATTTATCCACGTAATATTGCACGCATTCTCGTAATACGATAAAGGTAAAATTATGAGGTAGGCATTAAGACTTCTTTTTCATCAATTTATTATTTTATGTTATTTTTATTTTAAGTGTGGCACACTACGGTTGTGTCCGAATGTGCACCCTGTTCCCTTTCATCACTATTAATGGTGTCACGCCATTTTGTCGGGGTGTCTGATTGTCCGGGGAGGAGTACGTGCTGGCCTGGGCACTCAATATTCCCCACAATGCACTTGGACAAGACACGCAACAGGTTAATGTAGACCACAATGCATTGCGAACAGGAAAAAAGACATGTACGATATCAAAAGCGATGATCTAAGCAATAACCGTAACCACATAAATAATTTTATTTAATTGAAAATATGCGGCGTGATGGGTACGGTGGTCACGTGATACGCGACTAGTAGTGATCTGGCTGTCCAAATCGCTCAAGAGTGAAGGATTGGGGACTACTATGTAAGAATTATACAGTATTCACTAGTACGGAACAATGAAGTGGTTTGGGGAGACGGGTGTACATTCGGACACAGTTTACGTTTTACGTTATTTCTTAGAGTTTATGTTAAAATTTTATAACAGTATTAATTTAAATGGTTTAAAGTATTATGAAAACATGACGAAAACGTTAAAGGAAAAAATGCACTCGATTGGGTTCAATAAACGGCTTACAAATATCTAACAGCTAGGTGAGAGGTTTGTAAACACCGCACATCCTGGAATGTACCATAACCGAGAGAGGGGTTCATGGTGACGTTTTCTATGCCAAGTTTAAGGCTGCGCCCTTATAAACTCCTTCATTTCCTAGTAACAAATAATTCTAAAATATTCATGTGTTATGGAGTGCTTTTAGTGTCACATCAAGTCTATTACTGGTCAGCTCCTCACTTCAAATTTTATGGATTGGGATATGGAACAGTCCGCTCGTCAATTGTGTATCAGCTGAGTTGAAGCATACCGCCCAGTCATGACTGCCCTGAAAGGACCACTTCGCGAACGCTAGTTTTGATGTGCTCATCTACTGATAGAAAGGAAGTAATATCCACTTCTCTAACAAAATAATACTTTGAGGCGAAATCATGTAAAAACTCACGTCTTCCTGCTTGGCTTCTTCGAACCGACCGAGCTTGCGCCGCAACTCGATTTTTATTCGGTGAGTCATTTCGTTGATGCACCTGATACACGGCTATTGTAGCTTAGCTTATCACACCACTTTACCGTTTTATACGATACGAACATCTACACACAAGTGAAATTCTTGTTGTTTATTAAATGTTTTTTTCATGCTAGCTAAACGTACATCCACTGCAATGTTCCTATTCTCCGAGGGGAGTGGTGTATCCCCCCCACCCCTTTTTTTAATCCACATTGCAGTTACATAATAGACTAAACTAGTAGGGATGCTGTTATGAAGCCAAAAGCTGCCTCATCATAATGTAGCCCACGGGTAGGCGACTCCGGTCCTAGAGAGTTATGGTCCTGCATGTTTTCCATCTCTCCCTGCTGAAACACCTCTGATCCAAAGGATCAGCTCATCAGCAAGCTCCGTAAAAGCCTAACAACGATTCTGATAATTTGAATCAGGTGTGTTGGAAGAGGGAACTTCTAAAACAAGGGGGACTTTGGCTCTATAGGACCGGAGTTGTCTGCCCTGATGTAGCTTGTGGACAAGTGTGGTGGAAATATAGTGTTCGTTAGGTGACACTGTCGGTTGTGTGGTGTAATTGTGGTCGTGAGTTGTGTGATGAAACACGCGGCCAGTTTTAGATTGATGCCACACTGCAGCAAGTTGGCCAAACGTAGACGTCAGGTTTAAAATCGGGCCCTTGATGGATTTTTTTCAAATTATCATCACATGTCCTCATTCGGGTGATTGATAAACTGAGGCCTAACCCACTGACTTTTGTTGAGAAGCAGGGAACACCTTGGACTAGTCGGCATCAAGTTACAGTGCACTATAGACAAAGCATTCATACTCACGTTCACGCTTTGGGACAATTTTTTATTTCATGTGAACCTAATTTAGGTACATGACAAAATTTTATGTACACCGCGCACACGATTGGCAAGGCCAACATTGCCGAAAAGAGCTTGAAAACAGAAACGAAATAGCATTGACATTTTGACAACAAATGTCTTGTGTAGCTCCTCTTTGCTAAGACAAAGAGTCCAGATGCCCCCACCCCCAAACCATTTCCTCTAAAATCTTCCATGCACGCACGCTGCGTAATTCTATTTACCATAAACAAGCCCCAGAGGTATGAAGGCCTCCCAGAGAGACAACATGAGACGTTTCCATCCACGCCTATTGCCTAATTAAAAAAAAAAAAAAAGAAACAACTTAAGTTTGGCTCTACTGTTTTCGCAGACATATTGTGAGAACATGCTGCCACCTGACTGACTTGTGACATGGATCCTGAAGAAGTCGAGTTGCAGAACGACTACCGCTATCGTAACTACGCGGCGGTCATCGAGAAGGCGCTGCGAAACTTTGAATCGTCGAGCGAATGGGCAGATCTCATCTCCTCCTTGGGCAAGCTCAACAAGGTAACCGTCGAGGCTGGTATTAGGCTATCTCATTGAAAGTGATGGCTATTATAGTCGACAGCAGTATGTAGAGCATACAGCACGGTGGACTTATTTATTGTCATTGCCCACCAGGCCCTGCAGAGTAACCTCCGCTACTCCCTCCTTCCCAAGAGGCTCATCATTGGCAAGCGTCTGGCACAGTGCCTACACCCGGCCTTACCCAGCGGGGTGCACCTCAAGGCTCTGGAGACCTACGAAGTCATTTTCAAAATCATTGGGACAAAATGGCTGGCCAAGGATTTGTTCATTTACAGGTATAGAGAAAATTATTTTTTATTTCATGTGAACCTAATTTAGGTACATGACAAAATTTTATGTACACCGCGCACACGATTGGCAAGGCCAACATTGCCGAAAAGAGCTTGAAAACAGAAACGAAATAGCATTGACATTTTGACAACAAATGTCTTGTGTAGCTCCTCTTTGCTAAGACAAAGAGTCCAGATGCCCCCACCCCCAAACCATTTCCTCTAAAATCTTCCATGCACGCACGCTGCGTAATTCTATTTACCATAAACAAGCCCCAGAGGTATGAAGGCCTCCCAGAGAGACAACATGAGACGTTTCCATCCACGCCTATTGCCTAATTAAAAAAAAAAAAAAAAGAAACAACTTAAGTTTGGCTCTACTGTTTTCGCAGACATATTGTGAGAACATGCTGCCACCTGACTGACTTGTGACATGGATCCTGAAGAAGTCGAGTTGCAGAACGACTACCGCTATCGTAACTACGCGGCGGTCATCGAGAAGGCGCTGCGAAACTTTGAATCGTCGAGCGAATGGGCAGATCTCATCTCCTCCTTGGGCAAGCTCAACAAGGTAACCGTCGAGGCTGGTATTAGGCTATCTCATTGAAAGTGATGGCTATTATAGTCGACAGCAGTATGTAGAGCATACAGCACGGTGGACTTATTTATTGTCATTGCCCACCAGGCCCTGCAGAGTAACCTCCGCTACTCCCTCCTTCCCAAGAGGCTCATCATTGGCAAGCGTCTGGCACAGTGCCTACACCCGGCCTTACCCAGCGGGGTGCACCTCAAGGCTCTGGAGACCTACGAAGTCATTTTCAAAATCATTGGGACAAAATGGCTGGCCAAGGATTTGTTCATTTACAGGTATAGAGAAAATTACTGAAATGAGAGATGACCTGAGGTGCTCTGTGCATTTTGCAATGACGCATTTGTGTCTACGTTTTTAGCTCGGGTTTGTTCCCGCTGTTGGGCCATGCAGCCATGGCTGTGAAGCCTGTTCTGCTCACGCTCTACGAGCGTTACTATCTGCCATTGCAGAGGGCGTTACTGCCCAGTCTTCAGGCATTCATAACAGGACTACTGCCTGGCCTGGAGGAAGGACTGGAGGTCAATGACAGGTATGCAAGACAAGGCTCCTGTTTAGGGCAAGGCCTTCAAATCTCCTTTTTATTTAATTTTTAACCCTCCCCCCAACAAAAGTCTAATTTCTGATGTTCGTGGATTCCCCGCCACCTCAGGGAAATGCAAATGACAATGGGCATCACATTTTGCAATTGTTTATTCATTTAACTTTTATTTTTATATATGTTGTCTGGGTTTTTTTTCTCTCTGCGTAAAGAAAAAAAGGCTCTATTGTGACTATGAGTGAGTTGGGAACGCCAATTGTTCGAATGTAAACCATTTCCTCTGGCTTTAAAGCCATGATTTTAGTGGAAGGAGTGCACATCAGCGGGGACTCATTTTGAAGTATAGAAGCTGCAAAAATATTGATCAAAAAACATTATCTGCTTATTCTCATAAGGACAAATCAATGAAATCTATTAATTAATCGGCCAGCCTTGTCTTATGTGTGCAAGTTAAAAAGTTCTCCTGAACATTTTTTTTCTGGGGTCTGTTTTGTTTCTATGTCCAGGACCGATGCCCTGCTGCTTAAGTTGTCTCTGCTGGTGGGTCAGCAGGTGTTCTATGGAGCACTGTGGGGTTGTATACTGGTCAGCCCGTTAGTGCGACTGCCTGCTACTATCTTTATCGTCGCACACTTTGACCGAAACTTGCCCCTGCAACAGCAGAAACACATGCTTGGCTATGACCGTTGCCTGGTGGTGAGCGTTCCTCTTCTTGGATATGAATTAATTCATCCACTGTGAAATCGGCAATAACGTGTTTTTTTTGTTTTTTTAAACTCCTAATCCATCTGTCTTTGTGCAGATGAAGTCTGTGTGTCTTTCCTTGCAAGACTCCAATGTGCTGGTTCAAAGGAACATGCTGGAAATTCATGGGAAAAAGTGTTTTTTTTGTTTTTTTAAACTCCTAATCCATCTGTCTTTGTGCAGATGAAGTCTGTGTGTCTTTCCTTGCAAGACTCCAATGTGCTGGTTCAAAGGAACATGCTGGAAATTCTGCTCTTCTTTTTCCCTTTGGCCACCACCCTGGTAAGCATACCGGTACTCTAAACCACAACTTCATTCATGCAGTTTTATCACTATGTTTTAAAGGAGGCATACTATGCATTTTTTGGATGGTGTTTCAAGCAATGTGGTCTGGTTGTTGCTTGAAAGTGGCTCTGGATCTTCAACTAACCGAGCCAACCAAGACATGGGTGGATAAATTTATTGCGAGGTGTGGTTATTATGTAAATTGCATTTTCAGGAATAGGCTGACCACAGAAGATTGACCTGGTTGGTTTAATTTTATGCTTCAAGGGTGGCCAGGCACTCTGGAAACCCAACTATTTGTATACATGTCACTAACAAGTCAATTTTCTATAATGTCTCCCCTGTAATGTTGGGATGCATAGATCTTTACACACAGTATTAGCTATAATTAGCTCAGCAGAAAGCAGCGTACTTTATTGCAAACTACAACAATAAACATAGTTAGCGTTTCTTGAAAATTCAATTTTTGGTAGAGCTGCTATATTGGAGGCCGTTTTTTTCCATGCACAGTACCGATTCCGCTCGGCACGGCTCTCTACATCATGTATGCGTTTCCTCTGCCAAAAGCCAACAGTGCTGAGCAGATACTATATGGGTGAGCCCTGCTGGCTGCCAATTGTTCCAGCAGATTCGCCAGAGCTGTGCAATTTTATTGTTTAATAAATATATGACAATGTGTGCCTTCAGACTGGATGTCTTAGCAATCTATTTTGTTGTTGCCCTCAAACTGCTGTCAAATCTGTTGTTGTACTGAGTTGAGAAAAACTGAGCAAACCAAGCCGGTATTGTGCAATGAAAACGCCGCATAATTGGACTTGGCAAGTGCTTAGTTTCTCTTGTGCCTTTTTCTATTGTTGGTTAAGGTCCCAGCAGAGGCCAACATCGTAACGAGCATTGAAGACATGACCACAGTGGTCTCTGCTGCTTCCCTTACATTACTCCGCAGAGATATGTCCCTCAATCGGCGTCTCTATGCATGGCTCCTAGGTAACTGATCATTGCAAAGTGTTAAGTGATGACTCACAAACTCTCTGGTAGTGTTTGGTCAATTTCTGGTTTTCTCACTTTGCTGCAATGTTTGTTTTTATGTGTTTGTTTGGTTTTTTTTTTTTCAGGCACAGACATCAAAGGAGAAATGGTTGCTCCACATCCAACCTTGTCTTCTTCGGCAGAGGAACATATGTTGTTTTACTTCAACACATACTCTAAAGATCTGATTGTGCAGGTACTTCACACGTGTGTTGTTCTAAATCTATAAGTGCATCAAAATAAATTAGATTCTCGTGGAAAAGCTATCGTTTACTTGTCTTGATAATTCAGTATTGCATTTAATGACTGCATCTAAATATAATATGCATATACATATTTTCACAAGGCCAGTTCCTTCCACATTTTCCAAAAAATAATAATTATGATTAGTTGTTTGATGTAATAATCTAATTTATTGGAATAGTGGTTTTATTTGTATTTTTAACCTCTTTGATTTAATATTTAAAACAATTTTTAAAAAAATGAATAAACATTGAGCCACAGTACTGAAATAAATTAAGATTTCTATGATATTCTATTTTAGTGAGATGCACCGAAACATACAAAACAATGCTAGTACTAACGCAATCTGTATCATGTTGCTGGTTGACTTCCACATTGTTTGTCCAAAACAGTTTTTCCAAAAGAAAATAAGGCCACCATTTTTAATTTGTTCCAGGCTCAAACTATCACCAACTCTCTCCATATGACATATCATTACTGTACAATATTTTTTTGTATTACATCCCTTACTGTCTCAAAGAAGTTTAGCACCATGTGATAAAACTAAATAAAAACAAATTACAGTAAAATTACTCACCCTTTCTTGACATGTGATTGAAACGTGGAACAGGAAGGTGTGTGCAGAGCAATACTGTCACCTGTGGTGCTTTATAAGTATTGCTTGTATATTCATTTGAGAGGTGGGTAGTAGCTGCATTTATCCCATTAGATTTACTCAAGTAACTTTTTGAGTGAGTTTTGTTTTTCCAATATTTTTGGGCAAAGTTACATTTGCATATTCCCATTTTTTAATTTTCATCTATTTCTCATGAGTTCACTATTAAAAAAAAAAAACCACACAATCGGAAATGACTCAATAGTTATGACTGCATTGTGCCCCTCGGAAAAAAAATGACTTGAACACTTGAGAAATAAACTATACGCAATTGAATACTTCACATGTCTGTCACATGTGCTGTGCTCTATTTGCATAGTGTTTTACTCATGTTTGTTTCTCACTTGTTACTCTGCTTCCCACCTGGCGGGTCCTTGGCTTCAGGGTCTGATTAACATCCTCAAACAGAAGGATGTTGAGAAAAAAACGGAGAATGTGATTGGCTACCTCAGGCCTTTTCGCATCATGATTAGCCTGCTGGATAAACCGGAGTTAGGCAAGTCCGGCACATAAAGACATCAAAATATTGAAGTATCTTTAACTTGTTTTTCAGAGTACTTATTGTGGCATCTGTTTTCAGGTCCAGCGGTCCTGAGCAGTGTGCTGTTAGAGGTGGTCCGAGCCTTTTACAGCTATTGCCGAAAGATGCTGGGCGAGGATACCATCACCAGCTCAAGGCTCTCGGGCAACCAATTAGCCAGGTGAGGGCAGGAGAGACCGACAACTGTCGATGGCTTTTCCACTTTGCCTCAGCGTAGTCACCTATGACCTACCAAAGCAGCTTGTTGACAAAGCCAAATTTGAAAGCTTAAATATGCATTATGACATGCTCATGCTGGTGCACATTTTTTTTCTCAGCTAAAATAACTATGGCAAAAAATGTCATTGTGTCAACATACGTGGACAAAATCACAAAATATTGTTACATCTGGAAGGCCTATGTCAAGTGCTTTAAATATGAGGTACCACTCAATTGAGTTTTTTTTCCACATTAATGTTTGACATTGTTGAATTTTTACAGCATGATTAAAGAGAACAAGAATGCTTCGGAGATCATAAAGACGATGAATATGCTTGTGAGCTCCATGAACAGTGAATACCTGTGGGAGTACATGACTCAGTGCTTTTGCACATCTCTCAGGTGAGACACAAAGTTTCATTTTCACACAGTTATTGAATCAGCCCTGATTTATTGCACATGATGTGTTTTCTTATGAGTATTTTTTTTAATACTTATAGTGACAAGGACGATGCACCAAAGCCGCAGCATGACAGCAGTTGTCCTGCTCCCTCTGTCACAGAAATGTCGACTCTCATCATTTTTCTGCTTGATGTTCTTCCTCTGGTAGAGAATTACTAGTCGTTAATGGCAACATGACCTGTTGACAAGGAGTATTTTCTTAATCCAATTCCTTCGCAGGAGCTCCATGTTAATATCCAGTCCCACCTCCTTCCTGAGATGCTGGGCACGATGCTGCAAACCCTGCATGGCCACATGGACTCTGTTCGCTTGGAAGATGTCACACAGGGCCTGCGCGCATGCTTCAAGATCCTGAGTAAGATCCAAATGCCTGTGGCGTTCATGGACTTTGAGAAAGGAGCCCACACAAGAGGGATGGAGGTCCAAGCGCAAGAAGAGGATGAAAGTATTCCTAAGGTCGATGTTTCCCAACTGTTATTGGGCCAAATGACATGTTTGACATTAGAAAAGTCTTACGACACACCATCCGACATAAGTGGCACAATCAGCATATCTACTGGAATAATGATGATTTACTCACAATGGACTCGGGGTGATATCTGGACCTATTTAACAATACACAAAGATGATATAGTAGCAGGAATGATGTGAGAGCTACTTTTTGGGCACTGTTTAATGCAAAGGGCTACCAGTTTGATACACACTTTTAAAATAAAAACAATTTGGCTCAAATGACTCTTAATAATATTCTTACAATTTGGTATTATTAATTATTAATGATATACACAGATAAATAACAATATACTGTATAAAACTTGATTTCTAGAACTCTTTGCCAGTGTTTACATTTTCAAATGATCACTTTTACAACATAGCTACAGTATGACAATGCCGCATCACTGTTGAGCTACTTTTAGAACAGGCCCACAGGCTACTCACGGGATCCCTGGGGTCTACTTGAGGTACTTGGGGGCAACACTGGTGACCCCTGTTCTACAGTATTTCTTCCTAGGTGTTTCTTTTAACATTTGTACAGTGGTTTTTTTTTTTTTTTTGCAATGATTTGGCTACCTCAACGTGTAAATTCTACTTCTCTCCAGGATCTAGAGAAGGGAGAAGAGGGAGAAGACGGTGTTACCGAAGGTAATGCTCACCACGAAGATGAAGAGTTGAACAGAGATGTGAATGAGGACGAGCATGCAGACGGAGTCTACACGACACTCCGCTCAGAGGATAGCGGGCTGGGCATCAGTGCCTCGCCATCTGAGCAGCATCTCCCACCGTCCATGGGCTCCATGGGAAATGGGATGTGCAAAAATGTTCATGGAGTGTGGAGAATGGGTGGCAGTGTCGACACGACAACTCAGTGTCTGCAGGAAATCCTCGCTTTCATAGCCACAAGGTAAACTACCCATGATTTGACAACAGATCAAACACTGATTAAAGTATAATCCCTTAATTGGGATTGGTCCCCAGCCATCTCAGGACACAAGTAGACAAACAATGATTCACTTATTCAATTGAAGACTCTAAATTCCATAATGCGTATGTTTTTGGAATGTGGAGGGGCGCAAGAGTACCCGGAGAAACAAACAAATCTCACACATAAAGGCAGCACTGTGAGGCAGATGTTGAAACCACTACGTCACCATTCTGCCAACAAAGCTGTTATTAACAAATATATGGTAATTCTACAATGAATAGGTGCAATAATACGATTGCACCTTCTGTTTTAAATACAGCATGTAAAATTACTCATAGGGGTCCTCAAGCATCGTACTAATTAGAAAGTAAAGAGGGAGACTTTTTCCAGTGATTTAGACTAGAAGTAGACCACACGCAAGATGTGTCTGTCCTTGGAAAAAGAAAGGCCTGGCTTTATTCATTTTAAGGAGGGGGAGCAAACACGCAACAGAAAAAAGGAAATGGGTGCAGCGCACATCAGAAATCGTTATGCCAGCCCTTTTCCTATTGTGGGTGCTTTCTGAGGTCACAGTGCCGGCGATCTCTAATAGGAAATAAAATTTAATTACCGTAGTTAATTATAGGTGCGTCGTCGTCACGGCAAACTCCCACTTCCTGCTTTGCACTGCAATGTGATACGGCGTTCTGTGGTCTCCCCCCTCTGAACATACAAAATCAATGTGATCATTGATGACGTGCTGCAGTAAGTGCAGTGTGAAAAGGCCTTTAATGAGATGTCAGCATCTGACAATAGATATGATTCAGCCTAAAATAGGATATTTTGAGACACTAGCATCAACCATCATTGATTCTTAAAGTAAGGCCAGTTATGTGTATCTCACTGAACAAATCCTTTCTCTGCTGTGTTTTAGACACCTGCTGGTACAGGTGGAGGAGGTTGATGCGCAGGAGGAAAAGTCCAAGACTGACGTCATGACTGTCCCTGTGGCTAAGAACACTTTATTACGAAGCATAGGAGGATTGGAAATTCAAGACAAACTGACAGGGCTGTTCACCCCAAACAAGTTAAAACAGCAGCATGTATCTGAGGTCCTACAAGCAGAAAAGAAAAAAGAGCGCAGTTGTTGTCTGGATTGGGCTGCTGGGTACCGGCCCCGAGGCAGAGCTGAGATCACCGAGGCATGTCGACAGGCCTTCGCTGCCACCTGTAACCTGCTTCTGGAGTGCACCACCTTCCCTGTTTACCTAACTGAAGAGGAGGCCCTGACTCTCCACACAGACATGTTTGGCCAAGCAGGTCAGGCAGAAAATAGAGGAACGGCATGTCACTGGCACCGTTCGACGATGTTCAAATGTGTTTCCTTCACAGGAGGTGACGCAGAAAGCTTGCCCATGTGGCTGAGGTCCTTGATGACACTGTGCTGCATGTCAAGGGACTACAAAATTCAGTACACTGCAGCGGCCTCTCTCTTGGAGCTCATCAACTACTCCCAGTCCTTAGCGCTGGTCATCCAGGACAGGAGGAGGCGCTACCAGTCTGACTCCAACCCGCTGAGTGGGCAGCTGCAGATGATCACCATGCCCCCCATTTTTCCCGCTTTGCTTAGCACCATACAGGAAGACACTGACTTTTACCAGGTTATTAGCGAAACGTTTGTGCGAGCCTCAAAATCTCAATAAATATGCTACTGAAAGATATTTTCATTTTGTGTTTGGTTTCAGAGGGTCGCAATGGTGCTTTGGAGCCAGCTGGACACAGAGCGTCGAGAGCAGCACACAGCCTGTGTGGAGCTCTTTTACCGCCTTCACTGTTTGGCTCCATCAGCAACCATCTGTGAAGACATTATCTGCCAGGCGCTATTGCACAAGGACAAGGTGAAAATACCTGTCGAACTGCTTAATGATGACATAGGCAAATAATACAAGAAATAAACACCAGCTCTTGTGATTGTGTGAACCAGGCTGTTCGGCTTGAAGCGCTACACCGCTTCTCGATCCTCTGGCACCTGACCCGTGATATCCACTTGAACAGGAACTGCCGCTCTTTTGACAGGTTAGTGTCGACAGTACTTCTACACAATCACAAAATCATAATTTGTCTTTTTGTATTTTCTACACTGCCAGTTTAAAATAATGTTGTTTTTGAAAAAAGAGATGGAAATTAAATCAGCTTTTTAAAAATCTGATTAATTGATTAATTGACCGATGAATCATTTCTTAAAATGATTGATAGCTGCAACCCTAATCCCTAGTTCCTACCATACTTGCTGTATTTTTTTTCTCTCTTTTATAAAACACATGCTGAAGTGTTTTTCACACATATATTTACTGTAATAATGACTTGACCACTACATTAGCGTAATTTAGAAACAACTGCAACTTAAAATACAAATTCAGGTTACATCGCCACCGTAGCAATGGAACTCGCCGCGGACACCATGTAATCTTTCCAAATAGTCTTAAACTACAAATGTGGCTCTCTCACTTTCAGGTCACTATGTGTTGTGTTGGAGAGTCTAAGCTGCACGGACGGTTCAATAAGTGCAGCCGCACAGTGCTGGCTGGCGCGAGCTCTGTCCCTCAATGATGTAATCCGAATCCTAGAGCCCATCCTGCTCTTGCTGCTTCACCCGTCCACTCAGCGCTGCTCCATTCAGGCCATCAAACAAAATGTCACAGCTGGTTAGTTTGTCTCAGATTATGTTTCCTAAGCCGAAGGTCGTTTTTGTTTCATACCATGACAGTAAACCCCAGTATATTTGCAGTTCGCTGCCCACACATTGACTCGTTCCACTTTTTTATGCGGAACATAAACTCAGATGTTCAATGAAACAAAGATGCCACAAGATGTCAACAAAGCCTTGTCTAACTGCCAGGTTCAGTATTCCACCATCTATACGCGATTTGCTACTCACAAATTCCATGTGCATTTTGTCAAAATCAAACTATCTCGTAGTAATTTTACAATGTAATGTTTCACGATTAATTTGAAATGATAGTTTGTGGTACACATTTCAATATTTACAGTTTAAGAGTAATAAGGGCAATTATTCACATGTTTGGGGTGGGCTTCAGTTTCTTGAATAACACGTGTTTTTCTCCGTTTTAAAGGCAACCTCAAGATTCTAAACAACAGAAGTCGCTGGTCTGCCAAAGCAGTGGATGACATGGCTACTGAAAGCAACCCCTTGAATCTCCGAAATGTCATCGACCGAGAATCCCTGTGGCTACAATTAGACAGTGGTCCCGAGTTGTCAAATCTAAGCGACACTTTGGCAGCATCCAGGACTGAGAGCGAGGAGACGGAGGAGGAGGATGGAGAGGAGGATGAAGAAGCAGCCGTCAAAAGCGAGCACACGGAATCGGCTGACACTAGCGGCGCCCACGTGTCCACGGAGAATTCCGGCTCTGGTACTGAGGAGGGAGGAATGGTCAACGGCTTGCAAAGAGTGGAGTCTGAGCGCACGCAGGCGTCAGATTCGCTGTCGAGCGAGGACGACGAGGATCTGGAGTTGGAGGCGATGGCCAGATCTCGTCTGTTAAAACAGGAGCGTGAGAAGAAAGAAGCCATTGGTTCACTGTTCCATCATGTGCTTCTGTATCAGATGGCGGGCGGTTGGCGTCATCTGCTCCAAGGCTTGGCGCTGCTCGATAGTCTGCTGAGGAGCAGCGCTGAGTGCCCTCTAGTGGAGGCCTTCTCCTCCACTTCTCTGGACACCAGCTCGGCCGCTCACCTCAACCTTGTTTCCAACCTCTTGCAGCGTCACCAGCAAGCTCAGGAGGGGCTGAACTTCTATGGCGGTTTGCTTTCCCCTTCATCCTCCCCCTCTGTTCCCCCTTCTCTCCTCATAGAGCTGCTAATGAACTTATGCCTCCGATTTCTCTGCTCTCATTACTCATCCTACCAGAGCATTGGGCCTTTTGACTTGCAGGGCAATAGAGAGGTTAAGGTGAAGAGCGTAGAAGTGCTGACGCGAATGGTGAATCAGCTCACTTGCATGGCACAAGGACAAGAGGGTAGCCTGGAGCACATTCGCAGACTCCTCACTGGATGTAAAGTGCAGGAATATGCTTTACTTACACTTTCAGCTTCTATGTATATAAGCCAAAGAGGAACGGACAAGGGAACAACATCCAAGGGTCTTGAGCTGCTGGATGAAGATGTTGGACTGTCTGAGGAGAGTCTTGTGAATGTCGGGAAGGGAGAAGGGCAGGAGCAATATCCCTTACAAATGGAATTGCTCAAACTCCTCCAGGCTCTCATAGTCTTGGAGTACCATGTCTGGCCCAGTGGGGCTGGATCCGGCGGGACCTCCGGTCAGCCTGTGGAGTCCCCGACCAGCAGTAACCCCCTCACTCGGGGTTGGCAAACGGCCGTCCTGTTCCAGCAGTCCATCAAGGCAGCCCAGTACGTCCAAAGCCACCCCATCACTGCCCAGGGAATGTTCGTTTCCGCCGCCGCCAGGGCTCTGCAACCGCAATATGGCTACGCCATGCACCCCCACTGGGTAGCACTGCTGTGCTCCACTCTGCCGTACTTGGGCCGCTCATTGGGCATCATTGTGGCTCCCCTTATCAATCAAATTTGCAGGAACTTGGATGAACTGGTGAAGCTTTTTGAGCATGATGGAGGAAGAACAAATCAGAGGTAAAGTTAGACTCCGGCACACCTGTGAACCTCATGATCACAAGCACTAAAACAAAAAATGGACAGATGGATGAAGTTTTTTCACATTCATAATTGATACACAACTTTAACAACATAAAAGTTAAGTCAAATAAAGTAAAACTACGCACCCCTTGAAGGTGACTGATGGACACAATCGAGAGGGAACAGGAAGTTGTGCCATTTTAATTTTGTGGATAGGAATTAGGGCTGCACACTGTGAATACTTGTTTTTATTCAGAGAGATAGGGACTAAGCCCTGCCGTCATTAGTGAACTTCAGCAAATAAGTCAGTGACACTCAAAACAGTATATAACGGATGCAATGAAATGTAATGTCACCACATCAAAGCAAAGATAAAGCAAAACACTTATGTTACGTCCTGATGATGGTTTGAACTGTATGTTTTGTTTGACTTTCGGAACATATTTCAAATCGTACAACTCTTGGCCAGTTAAACTTTGGAGGTTGCACTATGTTCATTTGAAATGATAGATTTGCTTTCCTGCTTCGTTTAGTGTAACTGGCAGGCGGGAGAACATTGCACCAGACTATCATCTGACGCTTCTAGAAGGCCTGACCACCATTACACACTACTGTCTGCTGGACAACAAGCGGGTGAGACTCCTGCATACTGTACATACAATACACACAAGCTGATATGCCCATGGCATCTTGTTGTTAATGCGTTGTTTCTTTTTTTTTTTTTTTTTTTTTTTTTTTTTTTTTTTTTTTTTTTTTTTTTTTTTTTTTATCTTTGTCTCATCAGACATTGGTTGTGTGCGAATCTGTTGACATCCGAAACGCACGCAGCGCCGTGCTGGAGGCGCTGCCGCAAATGCTCAATAGCATGGCGCTGCTATGGGGTGTGGTTATGAAAGAAGAGTCCCACAAGCGGGGGATGCCTGACTCTGCCCAAAGCAGCAAGCACAGTTCATCTGTCTTCTTTAAAAGCACCAAAGTGTGTTGTTGCTCCCCACATATATATTATGTTCAATCAGTATTTCTTTGATGTACAGTATTCAGGACCAAAACCATTCAGTGACTAATAGATCATTAGCAGAATTTTAGAATGCATTCTACAGCCAATTTGGAGCCAGTTTAAAGCCGATAGTACTGGAGTAATATGTTCTGATCTCTTCGTTCTGGTCATAAGTTTTATTTTTAATTAATTAATTATTTTTTTTAAATTGTGGTGGTGCCGCCTATATCGAAATAGACCAAATGTATTTTCATTAGAATTCCTATTATGTCACATTTGCACAAGTTGAATGAAGAAGTAAATTTCACTCAATATTGCTGTGTGCTTGCTTAGATTTTACGGCAGCGGATATTACAGTTCCTGCTTCCGCTGACTGGCCAATACGGGATTCCGCTCATGGCCTCACTGGGAGCAGCCTGGAGCAACAGGAAGAGTAAAAGAAGACACACAAACAATGTGAGAACCGTAATGTTTCCAAGCCCACAATTACTGTATCTGTAAGAATTGGTAGGATTTGAGAGCCCCTGTTTCTTCATTAGGTTTTACCTGTGGCCAGTGAGGCTCATCTAACTATTGTAGAGCTTGTGAAATCATTGAACACCCTGCACACGGACTCAGTCCTACAGTTGGTCAAAGAAGTGGTGAAAAAGCCACACCAGCTCAAAGGGGATCAGGTATTAAAAAAAAAAAAAAATGCTCAGAAGTTGTTATCAATGTTATCAAGCACCTTTTTGTAAGAAACCTTCTTCTGTCTCCTATGAATTAGAAGTCAACCCTGGTAGACATCCCCATGCTGCAGTTCACTTATACTTATATCAAGAGGTAAGTAGTATAAGACACATCTGGACCTTCATCTTCAACCCCACTTCATTGTGGTTTAAATCACGTGCCGAATATGTTTTTCATGACAATGATTAGTGGCAGTGCTAGGCCATGCAACAAAATGAAAATAGTTGGTTTTGCAAACTTTGCAACAGGTCATTCTATTTTGCGACTTTTCCAAACCCTGTGTCAGCAATTATGTTCTCATTTATTTATATATTAATTTGTCATTAAATCATGTTTTTAATTAATTGATTTATTGTCAATCATACAGTGTTACAACACAAGACTTGCAAGAAAGCATCACTCCTGTCCTCAGTCTACTACGGGAATCTGTCCCATTGAACCTGGCTCCCCCTGGTCACTTTTTACTCCTGGGGTGAGTTTTTGCACAGATATTTCATATTAAGTTTGTACTCAAGCAATTACAGAGTTTGATTAAAATTGCCCTCTGCTTCAATGACATTTGTCACTTGCAGTATCCTCAATGAAGTGGTCAATCGGCTCACCAATTTGGACAATAAGAAGGATACTCGAGATTTGCAGGTTTGAAGACAGCGTTCAAACGCTTAATTGACAAGCAAGGAGAAACTAGTGGGACCGATGCTATTGATAACAATGGCGTCACTTGGTGCAGGAGGTTACTCAGCGCATCCTGGAGGTTGTGGGCGGAATCGCGGGTTCGTCCCTCGAACAGACCAGTTGGCTGAGCCGCAGCCTGGAAGTCAAAGTTCAGCCACAGGTGTGCCCTGAAACGGATGAGCCCGACGACGTGGATATGGATGGCGATCACTGTGGTAACCGAACACATTTCTCCCTGCTAGGCTTTTAGTAAATGTTGTTTGAACTAGTTTTCAATGAACAGTTATTGCACTGATACCGACATTTTTCATTTGTCTAGCGCTTGTGGATTTTTATGTTGTTGATACTTTAATGGCTGTATGGAATTAGCACCCTTGTTATTCGAGCCATAAAAGCTTTGTCTAGATTTTTTTTTTTTTTTGATAGATCTGCCTCAAACTTCAAAACATTATTTTGGCATGTGAAGATGACCTGATTATTACTTTTTGAATTTTTTTTTTCTTGGCAGAGTCGATGGCTCAAGCCAGCACCATGGTTTCATCCTCGGCTCCCTCAGTTTACAGCGTGCAGGCCCTTGTGCTCCTGGCTGAGGTATGTTATATATCATAGTATGTGTGAGTTCACATTTGCGGACAAAATTATTGCTCCACTTCAGGTAAAGAAAAACACTATACATTGAAATAACATGATGCTGACAAAGGCAACAATGAATAAACATTGACTGAAAATTAACTAATGAAAATCAGTCACTGCTTTATTTTTGTATTTTTGCTTTGAGATGAATGTTTTTTTTAACTTAATAGTCAGTTGCACAGTCGATGCCATCAATTAATTTCTGTAACTCTCGACGAGACTTAAGCTACTATCAACAGTTATATGGGCCCACTCCTCATGACCAAAGTGCTTCACTTGTCTCAGCGTCATTTATTTTGCCACGTTAATGACATTAAGGCAGCCAATGTCAGAATTATGGTTGGAAAAAGTGTGTGTGTGTGTGTGTGTGTGTGTGTGTGTGTGTGTGTGTGTGTGTGTGTGTGTGTGTGT